CCGTCACCCTCTTTCCCTTGCTAGAGTGGAGGAGCGGGATTCGCTGTGGCCTGGAAGCCCTTTATTTTCTTAAATGGAATCTATCCCCAAACTCTCCCTGCTTGAGCCAGCTCTTTAGAGATACTCTCTGGGGGTCCATGAAGCCCTCAAATCAAGTCACTTTGAGTGAGACGCGGCTTGGGATCGCCATGGTGAACAGGTCGGGAGTTTGAGTTACACACACACACACACACACACACACACACACACACACACACACCACCAGTGACATTTGGTAGCCTATCATCCCAAATTTGCTGACCAGAGCAAGATTTTTACTCTAAGCCTGATTCCTTGGAACTAATTTCCGCACGGGTCACAGCGTGTTCTGTCCCCTTTCCCAGCCATTGCTCCCCATCTAAGTGTGTGGGTCAAACCTAGTGATCTTTAAGGCCAGGTCTGAGATTCACTAAGGGCTGAAAGGGATTGAGAAGGATGAAACCAAAAGTCTACCTGACTCAGGTGACAACTGTTCCTGGCAACCAGGTCCTGAGAAGGCCCAGAGGGCTCAGCGGGGCCCAGGGTCGCAGGGAGTGGATGAAGGAAGATCCCCTTGGACAGGAAGCAGGGCAGGCAGAAAGCAGAACTTTCTCATCTTCAAAGAAAGGGCGCGGGTGGGAGTAGAGAAGGAAAGGAAACGAAGAAAGTAATACCGAAACTTTCCAACAGGAGCCGCATTTGCGGCCTGGGGTACAGGTAAAGACATACATCTTGGGTCACGAAATGCGGTGGGAAATCCTCGGAGGGTGGGCTGGACCCGGAGGCTGCCTCCAGCTCCTGGAATCAGATCTTAACGGCGTTCGTGCCGCCAGCCGCGGAGCAGCTCAGAGTGAAACTGCAACAATCCGGGTCAAACTGAATTCGTTTGAGTCATTTTTCCCGAGCGACTGGAGCCAGCCCAGTAGAACTGACCCAAGCAGGGAGCCGGAGAGGGAACGAGGAAGGGAAGGGGCGCAGCCCGGCCTACGGAAGAAACTCCCCAGTCCTCTGGATTCCAAATCCGCAAGGATGGAGAGCAAACTACAGTCTTAGGACGCAGCCACAAACAATTGACGTTTTCAGAAGGGGAAGAAAACCCTGCCCCCACCAAAAGAAACCCGCAGTAATGGCGATCTCTGGAGAGGAGAAGGGATTCTAGCATTACTGGAAAACTTCTAACACTCTTTAAGGAAAATGCATTCATGATTAATGATGAAATTAAAGTGGAATTTTAAAAACATGTCAAAAAGAAACAAAATGATTGCAGGAATCCTTTGGAAGGTAGTTGGACTTGGGGGCTAGAGTATGCATCTCCTGAGGGCGTTTGCTTTTCCCTTGCCGTCTCACTGTTTCCAGAAGCGGGAATCGTTTCGTAAAGACTTTGTCGCGACTCTCTGCCCCCTCCGGGCTGAGGGGTAGCAGAAGCCAGGCCAAGGCCTTTGGGGTGCCAAGGCCGGAGGGTCCAAGGCTGGGAAAGATCGCAGGCGGAGGAGGAGGGCGAGGTGGCCTATCTGCTGCGGTGAAATTGAAAGTAGCCCGGGTCTGGGTTTCAGTGTTTTCCCGACTGAGGCCACGGACCGGGGGCCTTGGCGCCTGCCGTGTGGCATTAACTCTTCCTTGCTCTCCCCGGACCCGACGTGAGGGGCGTGTAGCAGTGAGCGCTTTGCTCCGGTGAATCCTTGGCATCTAGGGAGTCATTCTGGGGAACGCCGGGGGGGCGCGTTCATCTTTAAAATGGAGTAATAAATAACTATCTCCCTGCCCATCCTCTGCTCCCACGGTGGGCTTCTGTGCGGATCAAGTGACAACGTGTCACTGAGGGAGTGAGTGGAAGTGCTTTGGAACAAGGTGCAGCGTCATTTGCACCCGGCAGGGGTCAAAGCACAGGTGACCCTCCCCGGGAGACACCTTATTAGCTCCTCAGTCTCCCCTAACCGCTTCAGAATTCCAGCGAGTTCTTGCCTATTCTGGAAATGAAATAATGACAGGAACGCTTAGAGAAAACTCTCAGAAAATCGAAAGCAAAGAGGATGCCGGCAGGTGGAGGAGTGAAAAGGTTAGGATGGGGGATGGAAATTGGGAGCGGGTTCAGCTATGGATGCTTCCTAGACTCTGACACTAGTGCCCACTAGTAAAAACGTGAATCCTAGGTATTTGCTCCGGATTCAGTGGGATTCCTCTGTGACTCCTGCAAAGTCCCAGAAATGACGATTCCCTGAGCTGCGCGGATTTAAATGCTTCCTGAGGGTGAGCAGCGAGGAGACTTCCGGGGGGGAGCGAGGTGTCCTGTCCTGGACTGAAAACAAGTTGGGAAAATGAGCCCACGTTACCGGTTCCCCCAAAGCTGGACAGAGAGAGGCTCAGAGAAAACACGGCGTCCAGGAGGGCATGTTAAACTAAAAGTTTATAAATTAAAGGAAAAAAAATACAATGAATAGAACTTCCAAATTTCACAAATCTTTTTAAAGTTAATACTCTAGTTGAGTGCACAGTGCCCTTAAGGAGGCGACAAGCGGCGAGGTTGACACGAGGTTGACAGGATCACCTGTCTTAGGTTGCAGGGACAGGGATGGGAGAATCCTGGGTCAGGACGCAGGAGTCGCCGAGGCTAAACGGTAGAGACTGGGCCCAGCGGCCGAACTGCAGAGGACGCCGAGGAAAGGCCGGTCAAGGATATTCACATTGAATACAAAAATAACCATCATTTGAATACAAGCAACTGAAAAGTGCTATAAGTTTTAACCTCCGAAAGAAAGAAGGAAAGAAAGAAAGAAAGGAAGGAAGGGAGGAAGAAAGAAAGGAAGGAAAGGAGGAAAAAAGAAAGGAAGGAAGGAAGGAAGGAAGGAAGGAAGGAAGGAAGGAAGAAAGAAAGAAAGAAAGAAAGAAAGAAAGAACGAAAAAGAAAAAGAAAGGAAGAAAGAAAGGTTCTGCGAAGGACTCCTGGGTTTCCTCTCTCCTGGTTCGGGGGGCTCCCAAGAGCTCCCCCAGTTGGTCGCAGCCTGGACCTCCGAGAGGGAAGATGCGGGGCCCTTGCCCTGCCCTGTGCTCAGAGGCTCCCTTCCATACATTCAGCACCCAATCAGGCGCCCCCACCCGAGCTCTGACACCAGGGAGGGGTGGGGAGGAGGGCCCGCAAACCAAACATTTCATGGTTCAGTGAACCCCTAGCCTGGGGCTCCTTGGGGCTGCCAGGGCTCTAAACCCCTTTGTAACAATTGCAATTTCCAAAAATAATAGATATGTAGATACACATAGATTGGTAGCATGGATACCATGAACTAGTGTGGCCTAGCGCACGAAGCTCCCGGCAGGCCTGAAATTCTGGGATTCAGGCTTGTGTGGTCTCCAGGAGTTCTCTCCTCTCTGGGAAACGCCATCCCCAGGCAGACACAATCCAAACCCAACATTATGGTGGTAATAAATAATGTCCAAGGGCTTCCAAGCAAGTGGGGCGGGGGGTAGGAACAGGGTCCCTAGGCCATAGGATGCCTCTGTTCAAACTAGAAAAAGGCGCCCCCCTCTGGAAAGACCCAGTCCCGCTGCCAGGGCGCACGTCCTGGAGAGCAGAGCCAGGGCTGGATTTCATCCTCCACCTGCCCCCTCCGCGGGGCTCCCCAGTACAGGGCACAACTTGCACAGCCATCAGCGCCCGTCTGGAGCTGGGGTGCGGGGATCATTCGCTGCCTCATCCCAGGCCGGCTCACTGGGTGCCCGCGGCGGCCGCACACGTGGAGAGTGCCCAGCCGGGGAGGCAGTAATAAGGGTAATAGTAGGAGGGCTGCAGTGGCAGCAGCGAGGGAGGCCGCAGCACCTCTCCGGGCAGGTACTGTCTCTGGTCGTCGCGCACCAGCACCTTCACTGCCACCTTCTTGGCGGCGGGCGCCGAGGCCAGTAAGTCGGCGGCCATCTGTCGACGCTTGGTCTTGTAGCGACGGTTCTGGAACCAGATCTTCACCTGCGTCTCGGTGAGCTTCAGCGACGCGGCCAGGTCTGCGCGCTCGGGCCCGGACAGGTAGCGCTGGTGGTTGAAGCGGCGCTCCAGCTCGAAGACCTGTGCGTGGGAGAAGGCGGCGCGCGAGCGCTTCTTGCGCGGCTTGGGCGCCACGGGCTCCTCCTCCTCCTCTGCGCCGCCCGCGGGCCCGCCGCCGCTACCGCTGCACAACTCGGGCACGCGTGCGCCTCCTGTGCCAACGCCGTCGTCCTCGACCCTCGGGCTGCGGTCGCCTGTGGACACAGTGAGAACAGAAACGAGACACTGTCAGTGCTGCAGAGGAGTGAGGTCCGGCCTCAACCGTTGTGGTAGGGGTGGGGGCGGAAATACCCTTTCATGCTGCCGGAGTGGTGGGGAGGACCTGGAAGCCGCGGGTCCGGGAGGCAAGTCTTAGAACCCTGTCCCACTCGCTTCCTGCAGCTAAGCTTGTTGTGAGCCGGCAACGAACTCAGCCGCTGTATCAACGCTGTGCAGTCAAGATCCAGCTCCTTGCCCTCTCTGGGCTCGAAGCTCCTCGCAGCAATGTGGGCATTGGGCCTGAGCATCCTCGCACGCCTTCTCCGCCCTCAGCCCTCAGCCCTGGGGTTCTAGGTGGCGTTTCGGATACCCTCCCTGGGTTCACCCGCCTCCCCACACTCACACACGCATCGTCACAGCACACACGTGTTGGCTGCACGTAAAGAGAAAGTGGGGAGACGGATCCTGGAGACAGAAGCATTCGGAGTCTTACGCCCCCATCCACCCGGAATTGTGGGAGGGCTATGGCAATAGGCTGAGCCAAGGCCACGGGTAGGCTTCTCCCTCTCTCTTACAAAGGCAATGAAAGGAGGGCTGGGGTTGAGGGTAGAGGGGTGTCCCTGCTTCTAATCCTTGGACCCTAATCTGACACCAGCTCCTCTGCCTCTTCCCCGCTCTCCCCGCAGAACCCTAGCAGGGAGGTCCAGCACCCTGGCCTGCAGCAGATAATATTTGCTTGGGGCCAGCGTGAGGCCTACAGCACTGTCCAGCCGACGGGGCAGGCACGGGGGTCTTTCTGACCAAATGACATGCCAGCTCGTGGTTGAGGAGGTTCCTCCCCCTGCTGAGTCTGGGATGACCTAAATCAAGCCCCTCTGCCTTCAGCTGGCTGCAGGGTTTGCCTCCAGCTCTTGGGTCCTCAGCCCGGCACAGGTCTCCTGGACCTGGGGTCTAGGAAAGCTAAAGAAACCCTCCTCCCGAAGCTCGGTTGGCCTTCGGCCCACTTGAAATTATCCCTCGTTACCTAGAGTCTGTCATACAGAGTGAAGTAAGTCAGAAAGAAAGACAAATACCGTATGCTAACACATATATATGGAATTTAAGGGAAAAAATGTCATAAAGAACCTAGGGGTAAGACAGGGATAAAGACAGACCTACTAGAGAATGGACTTGAGAATATGGGGAGGGGGAAGGGTAAGCTGGGACGAAGAGAGAGAATGGCATGGACATATATACACTACCAAACGTAAGGTAGATAGCTAGTGGGAAGCAGCCGCATAGCACAGGGAGATCAGCTCGGTGCTTTGTGACCACCTAGAGGGGTGGGATAGGGAGGGTGGGAGGGAGGGAGACGCAAGAGGGAAGAGATATGGGAACATATGTATATGTATAACTGATTCACTTTGTTATAAAGCAGAAACTAACACACCATTGTAAAGCAATTATACTCCAATAAAGATGTAAAAAGAAAAAAAAAAAAGAAATGATCCCTCGTTACCAATCTTTGAGCTGCGGGGCGGGCTCTGAGACCTCGAGCTGGGAGCATCTCTGATCTCTGGGCCAGGGCCCGGATACTGACTACCCGAGGTTTCTGGGACCCTCGATCTTCCCTTTCCTCGATTTTGGGGATTTGGAGACAGACTGAGCCGAAGGCACTGGCAATGGACTCAAAGCCAGGGTGCAGTGGTTCTCTCCCAGTCTGGTCTAAAGCACACTGCCCCACGACGTCGTCTGAGGCTTTACCCCAGGACGCAGCGTTCTGAGGAGTTTCTCTGTCCTCCCTCGGGCTCAGTTGCCAGAGGCTTAGAGCAGCCCGCGCCGATGTGCAGAGCTTAGGGTCTTGGCTAACCGGGGGGCCCAGGGAACAAGGTGCTAACAGCAGGCCCACCCCACTCAGCGTGGTTGCTCTCCTTGCCCAACCCCTCAGCCCGGCCCCCTTCCCCGCGAAGCCTTAGCCGACCTGAGACGCTGGCCGACATCTCACTGTCGCTCCGGCCCGCGGCTTCCTCCTCCAGGTCCTTGGCTGCGGGAAGCTCACAGACCGGCTGGCCGAGGCCCAGGGTCGCCCCTGTACGGCAGGCCCCGCTGGCCCCCGGCGGGTCCGCGCAGCGCCGCCCGCCCTCGTTCTCCTCGCTCAGCGCCGAGTCCGAATCCCAGCCGCCCGGGCTCTCCGTGGTCCGCCCCGCAGCCGTTCTGGTCCCAGGAGGCGACGCCAGTAGAGAGTCCTCGGCGCCCCCCAGCGCGCCCGCGTCTGTCTCCCCAAAGAGCCGCCAGCAACAGACAGCGGGCGCCGCTGCCACCGCTGTACCGCCGGGTACGGGGCGCCCCTCCGTCGCGGGCAGCCCGCCGCGCTCCTCTTTCTTGTTGAGAATCGCCTGGATGGAGAAGGGCGTCAAGGTGTTGGCGCCGCGCACAGCCATCTGCGCCGCGGGCCGGAGCGGCCGGCCGGGCGGGCGGCTGGGGCGCGGGGCAGCTCCGAGCTGAATGGAGCGCGCGGGCCGCCGCAGCGCGAGTGAGCCCCGCGAGCGAGGCCGCTGCAGCCCACTCCTGGGCTGCCCAACAGCCTCCGCCCCCCTCTGGCCCCGGATCAGCGCCGACCCTCACTCCCACTTCCGAGGCCCACCCCGCCCAGAGACCCCCTCCCCCCCAATCCAGCGCCAGAAGTTCTCCTTTCGCAGCTCAGCTGGATTATCTCATCGCCTCGCGCCCTTAAGGGCGGGCCGGGGTCTGGCCCTCGGAGGACGTGGGGGGAGGATCAGTGAGGCCCCTCTGCTGCTGCAGTCCCCTCCTGAGCGCCTCCGGGGTGCACGGCCCGAGTCACTTTTTCTTTGCGCTTCTGTCTCTTCCCCGCCTGCAGGATTTCGCTTCTGGATCGTCGTCTCCTTTCCCTGCTGGGCCGGCTCTTCCGGAGCCCACCCCCAGCGGCGGCGGCGGCGACGACGGCCGCTGGATTCCGAGAGGCTCGGGGCACCCTTTTACCCCCTGTCTTGGTTTTATCTGTTTCTTCTCTCTTTCCTTCCTCAGAGTTCCACCGTAGCCCACCCCCCCACACCCCCCCGCCCCGGTGTCATTCCTCACTGCTGAGGGACAGCCTCAGGCCACGCCCCTTCACTGGGCTGTCCCGGGAGCTCCCTGCCGCCCATTGGTTGGCTCTTGCTGGACGACGTCGACTTGAACAGACAAAACGGGGCACGCTGCGCGGAGAAAGTCAGGGTCTGACTTAACCCCTTTCCTCCCAAGCCTGGTCCTCGAAGCATCCTCCAGCAACAGAGAGGCTCACCCACCTAGACACGCTAAAAAACCACGATTCTTACCTCTACAGATGTAGCCACCTATTCTAGCACTTTTATGGAACACGATATTTAGTTGACTCAGATCTCGGAGGGAAACCCAAAGTTAACGCAGTTCCATAAAACGCGCGCGTAGTTTCTGTTCTCTAGGGAGGTTTACAGATTCGAAGAATGAAATGCTTCTTCTTCTCCCCTTATACTTTCGCGGATTCCTCACTGGAATATTAACTATTTTCTCTGAAATAATAAGTGAATTAAAATCACTGTAGAAATAGTTTTCTTTCCTCACCGGATTTTATTTGTTTCAATTTCTATAGAAGAATTAAAAAGAAAAAGATGGTAGAGATAGAGCTAAAGTCAGGAGAGAAATTAGAGGGCATCTTTGGGAGAGTTTCTGGAAATTGCGCGATCATTTCCCTGGGCTGTCAAAATTGAATGCACTTGGAGTTTGCTAAATTTTACACGAGGAAGAAAATTGAAACTTTGTTCTTTAAATATTCTGTTACTTGTGAGTTGAAAAAATATGTTTTTGTTTAAAAGAATATCTGGGAACTACCATAGTAAAGATTCTGAACTGACGACATTAATTCGCTTTAAAAAAAAATGAGTAGTGCATTATTTTATGTAGTAGAATAAGCCAGGCTAAGAAACACAAATATTGTGGATATCTCAAAACATTTGTTGCCTATTTATATTATTTATTTTTAAATGAAGGAGTTGCTTAAGGAACATACTTCACTGTCTTCCGTAAATTTTACCAGAGATTTAAATTAAAACCAAATACACAATTTGAACCATTAAATACGTCTAAAGAACTGTGATTTTAATTTATTAAATTGCTGAGATTGGTGTTTTTGGTGGCACTAAAACAAATAATATTCGCCCTTGTAGCTTTCTTTTTGGTAGTTGTTTTTCTTCACCTCAGGATGAAATACATTAGTAGTTTTCAGGGTCAGTGGCGGGGGGGGGGGGGGGTTTGGTGTGTGGTGGGGGGGGGGGGGGGCTTCGCAGCATCTATACTTTCCAGCATGTCAGCCACGTGATGCTCTTTTGCATCCCAAGTACACTACAGTGCACATCCTGTAGTGTTTTGGGGGGGGGGGAGCCTCATCCTTGAAGAGGTCATTGCCCATTTATAGCTCTTAACTATTACTTCAGTTTTGAGGTGTCAGTAGGTGGCAAGTGTAAGGAACGGGTTGCTCTTCAGGCCCAGAGGGGGAACAGAACAGATGCTTAAGAGGTTTCAAAAGAAATCTGTCCTTTCCTTCCTCCCGCGGACCTTCATTTATTAAGTTACACCCCTCTCCCACCACCCTAGACAATTTGTAGTTACTCTCTGGGGGCGAGCTGAGGAGGAGATTGACTGACACAGGTCACCCAGAAGGAGAGAAACGGGCAGGTGTGAACCGCCTGTCGCAAACAGCCATCCCTTTGTGGCGTTAGGACTTGATGTGGACAAATATATAATGAGTCCGGACACACAGGCAGGCAGAGATGTTTGCGGGTTGAGTGACTGAGTATTTGAGTGAATGTGGGGGCTATACAAAGACTTACTTGAATATATAACCAACACTTAGTTGCCCCTCCCCGCCAATTTTTTTAAAGAACCCCAAATCAAAGTAGAATATACCCCTTGCCACAGGCTTGGATAGAGGTTTTCAAAGCTTAGAAAGATGCAATTCTGTGACTTTGAATTGTCCGTTTTTTGGTGTGTGCTCGGGGTATAAGAAAGTGGCCGCATTCCGAGTCCTCAGGAGGCTCACAGAGAGGGAGGCTCATGTCATCTCGGGCAACTGCGGCGGTTAGTCAATCTTTAGGTCTGGGGAATGGCTGCAGACAGGGCCAGGAGTTGGGTGTTGGCGGAGAGTAAACACACGGGTCTGGAACTACCACTAGAAGCTGTTGATGGGGTTGGGTGGGAATGAAAAGGCTTTGGGGGCCGGTGAGAGGAGGTGGACGGATGCACAGAGGCTTCCCCGGGTACGTGCAGAGTCAAGGCCGACGAGTGGGGGTGTGTGGCGAGGGCTCAGCAGGTCAGCGCATGTCGTAGGGCTGGAGATCGCGGCGACAGGGGCGCGCCGGGGCCCCGCTTCCAGTCCATAAAGGGCGATTTGCTCCGCGCTTGACCGAGAGCTCCGGGGACCCACGGCTGCCTGACGGCGCCTGAGGTTCGGTGGGCGCCGCGCTCCGGCCTGGGCCGGCCCCGGGAATCTGCGGAGCTCCGGACCCCCCTCGGCCGGCCAGTCTTCGAGGGGGCGCTAGGCTTGCTCTGCGCCGGTGCCTTCCTCCCCGGCCCCTCGCTCAGCTCTGTCCTAATCTTCCCCTTCTCCTTTCCGACTTCCACCCTCGACCTCCCCTTCCTCCTCGGCAGTTTGGTTCCTGCGCGCCCCCTACATGCCGTACCCTCCAGCCCCGAGAGCAGCCTCGAGCCGAAGCGTTGCCGGATGGTGGGGCTTCCGCGGGCAGCGGCGCAGCGCAGGATGAGGGTGGGAGAGCCGAGGGCCCCGGGAGGAGGCAAACCCCATTACTCGGGCGCACGCCGCCAGCTGCTACGCACGCTCCCGCGCTCCCGGGACCCGCGTCCGCGGGGATTTTCCTGTGGGGCCACCGCGCGCAGCGTCCCTGCCGCCCTCCACCTGCGCCCGGGGCAGGATGGAGGGAGATCCGGAGAGGAGACCGTCTCCTGTGCCCAGAGCGGCCCGAGGGCGAGCGCCAGAGGCTGTTTTGCAGTGGGAGGCCAAGCGCGTCTCTCAGACGCCAACGGCAGTGACCGAAGTCACCTGCCGTCTCTTGGCCACGGTTTCCAGTCCCTTAAAAAGAGGGTTTTTACCCGGTGCTCTCCAATGCCGTTGCTAAGTTGCGCGAGTTGGCTGGCAAGGAGAGGATGCCGGTGCTGGCTCGCCTGGTGGGAGCCAGATCCAGGCAGGCCGCGCTCGGCACTTACCCTCTGTCCCTATCCACAGGCTCCCGAGGGCACTCCAAGCATCCGAAGAATCCCAAGCATCAAGCAACACGCCACTTTCCCGCCAGCAGACACTGGCTCCTGGGTTCCTAGGTCATCCGTTTTCAGACCCCACCAGGATTTTTCACGTACGTGGTCCAGGTATATCAGACCATTACTATAGGCCGAGGTAGTTTTATATTTAAACAAATGTTGCTCACCAACAATGTGCCGGGACCGTAGCTTATTGTTTTCTTTAATCTACATAACCCTGAGGATGGAGTGAATAGAAGACATTATTATCCCTATTTTACAGATGAGGAAACTGAGACTCATGGAGTTTAAATGATTTCACCATCAGTAAGCAGCTAAATCAGGATTCAAATCTGACTTTGTGTAATGCCAACCCAGCTGGGTTTTCGACTCTAACCGTTTTTTCTCATAAACCTTCACGTTTATTCTCATTGAATGTTTCCCATCGTCTTCGTTACTTATTTCTATGCTACACATTCATCAGAAAAGGAACTTCGAATTTAAGGAAATCAAAGAAAGAATTCAGGCAGGAAAATCTAACGATTTTTTCAGTTTCCTACTTTTGAAAATAAAGAACGCTAAGGCCTGTGGATCTGAACCTAAACCTTGTTAAGCAGAAGGAAAGAAATGCGCCATTGTTATTCTAATTAATAAACTAAACCATGTGTAGAGGGAGACAGCAGGTGATGGAAGTTCCGTTGAGTTCAGAAATATGGGGACCTGGGTTTTGATCGAGGCTCCTGAGATGCTGCGATACGTCCTCACGGAAGACATTTTTCCTTTGGAGTTAGTTTTCTTACCTGTAAAAAGCCAGATTTGGAAATCACCTCTCAGGCTTAAAAAGAAAAGTACCCTTTTCGCCTGGGTACAGTGGAGGACGAGCGCCACCTAGCGGGCACCTCTGAGGGATGTGAGGCTACCAAGGTAGAGAAGTAGTGTGATAAGTAGCGTCAAAAAGAGAATGTTGGTTTCATAAAACGGAATGGTTTTGCTCCTAGTTTTATGTTTCCACAGTCTCATGTTGTCAGGGATATAATAACCGAGGTGTTCCATTGAAGAGGCTCAGCCAGACACAGTCCGGATCCCCACTGAAGACTCACCTCCCTCAAGGGGAGGGGGAACGATGCGGGCGGTTGCAGTGGGAGCTCAGAGATCTCCTGGTCTAACATCTCCTTGATTCCTCTCTGCTAGCTCCGCTGACTGCCTCTCGTGCAAACTGGACCCG